TAACAGTATTATATGCCATCATCTTCCCCATCGCTCTTCTAGGGAACTCCCTCGTTTTGTATGTGGTTTTCCAGAGACAAAGCATGAGAAGTGTATTGAACCTTTTGATCGTCAATATGGCAATTGCTGATCTACTGGTGACAGTTTTTATCATGCCTTATTCAGTTTCTTATCTCTTTGTGGGCCTGCAGTGGTTTGGTGGAATCTTTGGCTTGATCCTCTGCAAAACGGTTCACTTCTCTTTGACTGCATCGATAGCGGGGTCAGTCATCACCCTTATCGTCATCACTGTTGACAGATTTGTGTCGATCGTCTTTGTATGGAAGCGTTGCCTAAACCTAAGAACCTCCAAGGTTGCCTTGGTTGTCATATGGGTTGTTTCAGTCGCCATTATGGGTCTGCATCTTGAAGTGTACACCGTAAGTCAACCCTTAATTGCAAGAGGCGATGATAGGTTCTATTGCTATCCCGACTGGCGACGCTTGCCCATCGACTTCAACAAATATTTTGCCGTCTCGAGTTTTGTTTTTTTATACGCTACACCTCTGCTCTTAATGGGCATTTTATACTCCTTTATTGCACACAAGCTAAGGAAAGAGAGCCTCGCGGAAAGCATTGGAAGCGGGGGTGATGTCAAGATCAACAAGTCCAAGAAACGCGTTATAAAGATGCTTATCACGGTTACTGTAGCCTTTGGGGTCTGCTGGTTCCCTTTGCATCTTTTACACTATTACATATACTTCGATTATGAGAGTTACACATGTATGTCCCAATTAGTCATTATGCTATTTTTCTGGCTTGGTCATGCGAACAGTGCAATAAATCCAATTCTTTACGTTGTTTTCAACAAGACTTTCCGTCGTGCTTTTCTGCACGCTTTGCATATTGAATCTTTTCAAAGTGTTTACCTCAGGAGTTCATTCAGGAGATCTTCAATCAGGAGACCTTCAACTGCAATCACTTCAGCCAAGGACAACCCCCAACAAAATGGAAACGATATTTCTGGGATTCATCCTTCGCCTGATGTACCCAAAATGCGCTCTCAGAAAAAACACGGCTATGGCAAACTTAGGCATCAAAGTGAGAACTCTAAATCGAAGTCTTCTGATTCTGGTTGCGATGACGTAAAATTGGGCCGCCATTCAATAATAATTGTAGCGGACCGAATGACAACGGTGTAGAAGATTTTTTGGACTTAAAAGATAAAGACCAAAAGGAAATGAACTTGCATTAAATTTGTATGTAATTTTTACACATGCTAAAAAAGTGTCCGGGTTTGATAGCTACGGCAATGCATAAACTCTTACGGTTCGGCCAAGAGACTCTTACACACGAAAGGACGAAAACAAGCTACGAGTAATTCCCTTGAACGTCAGTTTAATGTTCAATACGTTATGTACAAAATATGACGCGGTAATGCGTACTCCTTTGCTTTTAGAGCATGACATTGCACTCAGCTAAAATAGTATTTTTTTTTTCCAGGAAACACTTTTAAAGTAAGCGTCGGTTATCTTTTACAATTTAAAACTAAATGAATAAATTTAAAGTGGATTAGCGGGGCAAGGCGTTATAAGTAGTTAAAAAAAAGTATGAGTTATGATGCAATGGGAATGACTCTTGCTCGAGTTTTGGTGTTGAGACCCATTACAAGAAGTATTTTTTTTGTAAGGGTTTTTTTTTTTTTTTTTTACAGAAAGGTCATATCAGCTAGTCTAAGGTGGCATTATTAACCCTCTACAGCCAAATTCGTTGTATCGCGCTGCACGTTTAGCAAACTTCGAAAGGATTTTTGGTTTTTCTGCTCCGTCAATCATTTGAGTGGGGGCAGGGTTAATGCAAGTCACAACGCAACGCGCTCGCCCAGGTTCGCAAGGAAAAGCAAAACTGAGAATGACTCTAGCAGCAGCGAAGGAAATCGCAATGGTGAGTGGATGGAAGGAGCCAGGCATTGCTTTATAGTCTTGCAAGTGGGGTAGACATTCGTAAGAAAGATCAGAAAGATCTTCGAATTAAACTAGTCGAGTCTGGCCCAAAACAGGATGATCACAAGCGAGAAACCTTGAAACACAGAAACAAACAAACCGGATCAGAATCCACCAATCACAAATCCCAAACCATGACCTTTGGAACTCGTTCAAGTAAGCATCTGTTTTCTGAGATGATCTACGGAACAGAAAAACTCTTAATTCCCTCGAAGTTTTAGCCTGCGAACAAGCTCTCTGGGGCGCTCTGGCGGCGGGGCGGGAAAAGGAAGAAGAACATGTAACTACGTCTCCGGAATTTGAACTCCACCTCCGATTCTCCTGTGGCTCCCCGTCGACTGAGCTGTCAGATTTAAGCCAATCAGGGCGAAGCGGAAACGAGCGCGAATGTGTAAGACGTTATTACTTATGTCATCTCTGCCAATCAGCATTTCGTGTCGACTTTTTCGATGCAGATCAGTATTCAAATCCCAGAGACGTAGTAGCAAGCCCTCCTTTTCCCGCCTCGCCGCCAGAGCGCCCAGGAGAACTTGCTCGCTAGCTATCGAAGTTTGCAAAACCCAAGGCAAATGTCAGCTGTCAGTTAAATTTTAGGCTATTTGTCACTTGTCAGTTAAAATTTTGGCCATTTTTCAGTTGTCAGGTAATCCCATCCAAGCCCTCTTTAAGTAGTGGGAAGAATTTAATGAAATGTTAGTTACATTCATCTTGTGTGATCATGTACTAAATTCTTGTCACCAATCTGTTATAAGAGGCTTCTTAGGGCATAAAGGGTTAATTCTCCTCCTATTTTGATAATCAGAATTGTCCATTAAGGAGGATGTGCCATCGAAAATGAGTTCGTCATCTCAACTACATTGCATTTTGTAACTTTCTCATTAGGTTGGGTCACTAGATCTCGACAAGAGAGAATGAGCTCATTTTCTTTTGGTGTCGCCATTATACCTTCGTATATGATCTTCATAGGCGACATCGCCATTTTAAAAATATTGTGTTTATTATTTGAATGTGTAACGCGTTAAACCAAAGAATTTTTCGACGGAAATTGAGCTCTCATCCAACGCGCAGCTGGGCTCATGGAATAATTATTCAATATTGATTACGCTCACCACGCAGGCTTGACTTTAAATTTCAATTCATTTTATTAGTTCCATTTTGCAACATCGAGGGTATCATGTCATAGCGTGATTTTGGTAGGATTACACAAATTATGTATTTAAGGAATTAATGGTTAACCTTGCTATATACTTTTTTCTTGTAAGAATAAGGGCAGAACCGGCCCCGACATGGTTCTGCGTTCATGAATTCATGTGTTCGTGAGGGGCAAGAGGGTCATCCGTTTTTGGGATTGTCAAGGGTTACCTCTCAAAACAAAGCCTTTTGTGTATTGTGAATTGTGTATTGTTTATTGTGTATTGTGTAATGTTTATTGTTTATTGTACATTTGTGTATTGTTTATTCTTCATTCTGTGTTCTGTATTGTGTATTTTGTTTACCGAAAGTTTAAAAACAATCAAAGTCTACGTATATATAGAGAGAGGAATTTGTCATGCAGCTCTAGATTAAAGATAAATCATACATTTTAATTGTCTCATAGAGGATTTTATAAAAGCCAAGGTCGTTTCAGCATGTTCCTACTGAACTAATCCATCATTTGCCCAAATTTCTCTGATTTCTGGCTACATAAAAGTAATTGTGAACAACAATCGGACATTGTTAAAAAATACTGTAGGAAACTTGGCTTCGCTGATTTCGCACAAGGTGTAATAGCTAACCTCACTACAGACACTAACCAAAGAAAACCTTGTTGACAAAAAGAATTATGGACGCAAGTGGCGTGAGACTGCTTATTTTTAGTAGAAGTAATAAACGGTAAACGACAATTAAGGGAAAAACTTGGTCAAGTAGTATACAAATCCAGGTTTGCCTTTTGGCGTAAACGTGACTCTCTGAATATCTCTAATAATAGAGCATAGTTATGAAACAATATACTTTACGAAAACGACGTCTTCGTAGTTACAGGCCCGGTGTATGCCAAGCCTTCCACTTCAGCACCGAAGCCAGGTAGTCTGCGCTGGGGAAAACCTTGTAGCATTCTGGAGAGAGCTAATTCAAGGTCGCCGTCTTTAGCCCCATAGTGAGAAATCTTATTCTTAATCATGTGTTTATACGGCAGTAAAACAGTATACTAACATTGTAATGGTTCCTTTACGTCAGTTCTACACTGGAAATCACTTAAGGGCGGAGCGGCTCCGAAGCGGAAGGAAATAAAAGAGGTTCGCACTTGGGAAATAAGTATACTGATGTTGGGAGGCTTGACTAAAATCAGAAACTGAGTTAACTGTGTTGAACTGAATTTGACAAGCAGGATAAATTGCGCACAACGATTAGGTCGAAAACAATGGATTAAGATGCATTAAGATACTTTATATACACTAATCCTCTAAAACAACAATCCGTACATTAAGGAATTATCACTCATAAATGGGTAAGGCACTTTCAATCTATCTATTAATGCAATTAACTGGCCAATTACTTGCTTAGACCTCAATCAAGCCAGTGGAAATTTGTTCAGAACATTTTACATGGCTTGCCAAATCGATCGAGTTGCATGTTGTGAATCGGCGCAAGAAATTTAGATATTAACCGGTTCGAAGTTTGTTCGTTACCTATAATTAATGACGCCCATATTATAAATAATCTATTTAGTATAAATGTAATGATAGTTTAGTTTTCTATTTTACAAATTAAATCTCTTCTACTTAAAGAGGTTTGTAAACTGCCGTCACTGACTACAACAAACAAACGGAATGTCTGGAACGTCCATTTTAAAATATTTACGATTTTTGTGGTCAATACTCTCAGCGCCTTTGGTTTGTTGCGTCGGCTCTGTCACTGCAGCAAATAGACTGAATTTTAACAAATAAATGACCTTCAGTCGAACAACATTTCGGTATCAATATTTGCCTAATTTATTACAAATACTCTAACTGATCCATTTCGATCACTGCCTACTTATCATGATGTCTGTTTTGGGCTAAGAGGCACGTGATCACTTTGTATCTTCCCAGAACTGGCTTTTGTTACTTGTTTGAGTAACCCACGGAAATGACCACTGAACATAAACCAAATCCACGGGTTTATTGCACAGTTTGCATGACCCAGCCAAAAAAACGAAAGAATAAGGATGGCGGGTAATTTGCAATATGTAGAAAACGCAAATGATCGCAGCAAATGATTGACATGTACGGGCAACCAACACACAGCGAATATTACAACTATAGCCGTGATCATGCGTACGACGCGTTGATTCATCTGCATGATTTTGTATCTTCTGTCGTTTCCTACGGGAAGATTGCTCCGTTCGCGGATTTTGCATGCGATGATGGCATAGAAAAACACCATGGCTGTAAGTGGAAGCACATAGAGGACTACAAACTTTATTGTTTCCTCAATTTTCATGTACTGAAAGTGCTTTTTATCGTCTTCGTGCCATTCTCCATTGCAATAGCATTTTCCGTCTGACTTTTCCTCTGTTGTCATTTTGTACAAATACGGTGAGGCCGATAGTCCGGCCAAAAGCCAAATCACCACAATAGCGCATCTAATTCCTTTTAGTGTGAGCGGCCTTATGGTCGCGTGCGCTGCCATGAAGCGATCTAATCCCATCGTGACAACGGTCAATATAGACGCTGCTACCGAGAAAGGCACTGAAAAGTATGATAGCTTGCAAGTTATCAACCCAAAGGTACCAGACAACCAATGTCGACCGACCGTGAGGAAAGAGATAAACACAAGCGCCGCTGACGAGGCATTGAGAATGTCCGCTATCGCCATGTTGAGTATGAGATAATTGAAAGGAAATTTCTTTCTTGATTCTTTGTCGAATAGCACCACTCTTACCAATAAAGAATTACCAATTAGAGAAAAAAACAGAACCACGGCGAAGCCAGTAATAACCAAAACTGTTGACGTATAACTGGCGTTCTCGAACAAACATTTGGCTCCACTAACGTTTGAAGAATTCATGACTACCTGCCAAGCAAAAGGGTGAAATTACAAGTTATTCAATGATTTGGAAAAATAAGATAGCGGTCCGTAAGACTTCAACACAGCAATTTAAGCAAAGGTAAGCTTTGTAAGAACGAGCTTACTTACAATCAAAGTTGCTGGCTGTATAATATTAAAACGGGCCTCTTTAAGCTGCGTGCGTACGTACGGTGTCTGCCGTATTAAAGGAATCAGTGTCGCATCAATTCACATTGAAGTGCTTTCGAATACACTGTCAACATCGATCCCAGTAATTCCGTCTACGCGACTTAAACCGGACAGACGGCAGATTCTGAGCGATTCTGCAGCGCTGTTTCCTTGCCAGCTGGTGTTAACAATTACGGTAGAATGCAATAGATTCTCTTCCCCCGAAATGTGCCGAGCGGTTTTGCAGTATATGGTTACATAATCACCGTGTGCATATTCGATATATGGAATACTTAAAGAATTTGAAGGGTGAAAGGTTCATGCTCGACTTGGTGGTCTGATTTTCCTACTTGAACTAGAGCTTACGTCACAAGCGGAACACCAGATAAATCTACTTTTTAGTTTATTTTATATCCTTTCCTTTGTCATTTTTGGACACATTCTCACTGGTGTGATCTTAAAATGAGCAGTCAGTGGATAGCAGATTACTAACATTTAATTCATACTAACACACTTATTTATTTCTTAAGTACAATAGAATATCTTATCTACGTCGATCTAAGACTTCACACATGAAAAGAAAACAAAAAAGATCTGAATCATTATTTACATGGGCCAATATTCTGATTTGATTAACTTGAATGTTTGTATTCATCTATTGAATATAGCCTCCGGATAAAATCATTTGTTTCTTTGATAACAACGAGATAAAATGCCACTAACAGTTCATTAAGATTTTAAATAGCTTTTCCAAATAACACTTTCCTTTTTTCTTCCAAACAGTTCTCTCAAAACTGAATTCAAGAAAGTTAAAAAAAAAATCAATTAACAACAACTCCTGTGTAAGTATTTTCTAGTGAGGTTTCACCACATCTAGTCTCCACTTCTCTGCATTAAGTCTACTATAGATGGTGAAAGGTCAGTAAATAAATAAGTCTCATGCTGATCAAAATATTTTTGGTGCAAAACAAGGAAATGATTTGCGAGCCTCGCCAATCAACTCGCAGTTTTGGCGAATTCAACTGATCTTATTTCACCGCAGGCAGATCGCTGAAATAATTAACTGGCAAAGTTTCCTAATTTGAAAGAGATTTCTAGAACACATTGTTTTACGGTATTTTTATGGCGCAAATTTTCAGCATTTTGCTTTTGCTTTTTATTCCATATCTCATATAATAACAGCTGTATCTGACTCCTGTCATGTGAAAGCATGCATCTCCTTCTCTGGTGTCAAAGTTTGCAATGTGATAAAATAAACAAGCAGTCAATTTGTACATTAAGTTTCTCGATAACCAGGGTTATGACTGCCCGTTTTTCATTCAGTTCTCGCTTGATTAAACTGATTAAATTGTTCAAAAAGGTTACCGGCGCCGGGAGCCCTTTTAGCCCCCCCCCCCCCCCCCCCCCCCCTCCAATGCATTGCCTTGCATTGCATGTATATCAGAAGTTTTGCCGCCTCAAAGTCAAAGTCGAATACAGCTTTTCTCTCGAGGTAGCTAGTACAGACATGTAGGAAGACCTGAACACAGAGATCGATTCCGTCTCATCTCTCATTCCTGTACTCTAAAAATCCTGTAATGCGACCCGGGAGGCACCCGGCTATAGGCTTCTCTCCCCCCTTCCGATATATCCCCTGCTTAAAGGATGAACCCAAAAGGTATACGACCCCCTCCTTTCTTCCACAATCCACACTCTAGATCCCTTCTCCCTTCTCGATTCCTTTGTTTATTTGTAAAAAGCGTTTGGAAGAAAATGCTTAATTCGTAACTTTTTATGCCAAGAAATTGACACACACACAAACAAAAAACACGATAGTCTGCAACACAGGCTTTGGAATGCTGGAATATATGGCAAACCTCGGCTGTATCCTGCCCAGGGTGGGAGGTACTCCGGATTTCAAAAAGTGACGGGGATGATCGAATGGGCCTAAAAATTAAAACCTCCGAAAAAACTCCCTAGGGCTTCCAACAAAACTACAAAAAAAATCTCCGGAACAAAAATAAATTTTTCATAGTTATTGTTTTTTCTAAGACGCCCTTCTCCTTAATATCTCTGTAATTCTTACCTCATTTTTTTACCTGATTGCTTATACTGTCAAGTTAGTGATCAAAAGGTCCTCTTCAAGGATCATACAGCTTTTGTCAATAGCGACTAATAATAGTAATGAGAAAATAAATTCACAAAATGGTTATTTTATATTTTAATATATTAAAAAAAAAAAAAAAGTGTAATGAATTTGAACACATAAACAAGGCTAAAAACTCCAAGATATAGCATTTTTGAAGAGACACATTAGCTTTCGGTTACATCTCGAAATTTAATCTTAGGCCCCGTCCACACGTATCTGGATTTTTTTTCATCCGCAAATTTTTCTTTCCGGATTCAAAATTTTCCACGTCCACACGTATCCGTATTCAAATAGAACTTGCTCGTCCACATGTATCCGACACGTATCCGGATTCTCTCTAGTACCCAGGATTCCTCGAGGAATATTGGCAACAGAGCATGCGTCGAGGTTGCCACTCTTGAATACAGTATTCACGGTAAAGAATCAGGCTCGATCTTGTTACTTCACCGGATAAAAAAACATATCCGGATTTACCATCCACAAGATTCCGGATTCATAGCGTATTCAAAAATTTCCACTCTGCACAGCGGATTAAACAAGATGCAGATGGGTAAGTACGTGGTGTAAGCATCACATAGTGGTTCCCCGTTAGTTACTAGAAGCAGTCTACATAATCCTACATAGCCCTACATAGCCCTACACAGCCATACATAGCCCTACATAGCCCTACACAGCCATACATAGCCCAACATAGCCATACATAGCCCTACATAGCCCTAAATAGCCCTACATAGCCCTACATAGCCCTACATAGCCATACATAGCCCTACACAGCCATACATAGCCCAACATAGCCATACATAGCCCTACATAGCCCTACATAGCCCTACATAGCCATACATAGCCCTACACAGCCATACATAGCCCTACATAGCCATACATAGCCCTACATAGCCCTACATAGCCCTACATAGCCCTACATAGCCATACACAGCCCTACACAGCCATACATAGCCCTACATAACCATACACAGCCCTACATAGCCCTACATAGCCATACATAGCCCTACATAGCCATACATAGCCCTACATAACCATACATAGCCCTACACAGCCCTACATAGCCCTACATAACCATACACAGCCCTACATAGCCCTACATAACCATACATAGCCCTACATAGCCCTCCATAGCCCTCCATAGCCATGCATAGCCATACATAGCCATACACAGCCATACATAGCCCTACATAGCCATACATAGCCCTACATAACCATACATAGCCCTACATAGCCATACACAGCCCTACATAGCCATACATAGCCCTACATAGCCATACACAGCCCTACACAGCCATACATACCCCTACATAACCATAAACAGCCCTACATAGCCATACATAGCCATACATAGCCATACATAGCCCTACATAGCCCTACATAGCCATACATAGCCATACACAGCCCTACATAGCCCTACATAACCATACATAGCCCTACATAGCCATACACAGCCCTACATAGCCATAAACAGCCATGCATAGCCCTACACAGCAATACATAGCCCTACATAGCCATACATAGCCATATATAGCCCTACATAGCCATACATAGCCCTACATAGCCATACATAGCCCTACACAGCCATACATAGCCCAACATAGCCATACATAGCCCTATATATAACCATACACAGCCATATACATAGCCCACACAGCCCTACATAACCATACATAGCCATCTACATTCTACAAAGCCATACATAGCCATACATTCCATGTAGCTATACACAGCCCTACATAGCCATAGCCATACACAGCCCTACACAGCATACATAGCCCTAACCACACACATAACCATACACAGCCTTGTACATATAGCTATAGCCATAGCCCCATAGCTAGCCCTACAGCATAGCCATACACAGCCCCATATATAGCTATACACATATAGCTATACATAGCATACATAGCCTACATAACCATAGCTATACATAGCCCTACATAGCTATACATAGCCCATACATAGCCATACACAGCTATACATAGCCATACATAGCTCCTACATACATATCACATAGCTCCTACATAAGCATATACATAGCTATACACAGCCATACATAGCCCACATAGCCCTACATAGCCCTACATAGCCATACATAGCTCATATACATAGCCCTACATAGCCATACATAGCCCTCATATAGCCATACATAGCCCATAACCATTATTACCATACACAGCCATACATAGCCCTACACACAGCCATACACAGACCTACATAGCCATACACAGCCCTACATAGCCCATATATAGCCCTACATAGCCCTACATAGCCCTACATAGCCATACATAGCCCTACATAACCATACATAGCCTACATAGCCTATTTGCAGCCATACATAGCCATACACAGCCCACATAGCCCCTACATAGCCATACACAGCCCTACATAACCATAAACAGCCCTACATAGCCATAAATAGCCTACATAACCATACATAGCCCTACATAGCCATACATAGCCCTCCATAGCCATACATAGCCATACATAGCCATACACAGCCATACATAGCCCTACATAGCCATACATAGCCCTACATAACCATACACAGCCCTACATAGCCATAAATAGCCCTACATAGCCATACACAGCCCTACACAGCCATACATAGCCCTACATAACCATACACAGCCCTACATAGCCATACATAGCCATACATAGCCATACATAGCCCTACATAGCCCTACATAGCCATACATAGCCCTACATAGCCATACATAGCCCTACATAGCCATACACAGCCATACACAGCCATACATAGCCCTACATAGCCATACACAGCCATACATAGCCATACACAGCCATACACAGCCATACATAGCCCTACATAACCATACATAGCCCTACATAACCATACACAGCCCTACATACCCATACACAGCCCTACAAAGCCATACATAGCCCTACGTAGCCATACACAGCCCTACACAGCCATACATAGCCCTACATAACCATACACAGCCCTACATAGCCATACATAGCCCTACATAACCATACACAGCCCTACATAGCCATACATAGCCATACATAGCCCTACATAGCCATACATAGCCATACATAGCCCTACATAGCCATACATAGCCTTACATAGCTATGTTACCATACATAGCCTTT